GAGCTGAACGGGGAGCTTTGCTCCCTTCCAGCTTCCGATGGGGAGCTCCGGACGTCAAAGGCACGTACCTGTTCATGTGGGCAGGGCCGTAACCCCCGATGGCGTATATCATTCCGTCCAGGACGGCCGCAGCAAAACAACTTCTCGTTTTGTTCATGGGGGCCACCAGCTGCCATTCCTTCACTTTAGGGATGTATTTCTCAACAGTTCGTAAGTAAGACTGCCCGTCGTAGCCGCCCAAGGCGTAGAGCTCTCCCTCCAGCACGACCACTCCCAGCGTGCTCTGGCTCTCAAACATCCTCTCGAGAGATGTCCAAGTGTTTGTGTCGGGGTCCCAGCACTCCACCGAGTTCTCGTGCTTGCGGTAGCTGATGCCTTGACACACGTGGGTTGCAATCCCTCCCACGACATATATTTTCTGGTCTAGGACACATATTCCAAATTCGTAGCGGGGAATGCTAAGAGGTGCCAGGCCCATCCAGGAGTCGTTCTGGGGAAAATACATTTCGACGCTGAAATAGAAAAACAAAGATTAGGTGAGCAAACCCAACTTTCTGAAGCTCTGTGAAGTGCAAATGAGCATCAAGGAACACGGTCTTAAGATTTTTCACACACCCCATGTGACGTTTGCTGTTTCTTCCAATAACCCAAAAGTAAGCTGAAATGGAATGCAGTTTACCGTTCTAAAGAATTCAAAACCCAGGGGCTCACAGCATACTGTGCGACACAAAGCACAGCAAGAAGCCCCAGCACCAAGTTTGAGATGTGAAACGATGAATTTGGAAAGCACAAACCAGGCAAACTATTGAGAAGGCAGGAGAGCACTGCGGATAACGCGAGGGGAGACAACACGGCGCTGATCCACAGCAGCTTTTGGAGGTAGGCTGCAGCTAGGGTAAGGTAAGAATACAAACCAAAGTGTTAAGAAGGGTAGAACTAAATAAAAAAATAAATCAGAACAGCAGCAGAGATGGAAGAGAGAGAAAAAGGGAATTAAAGAGGGGGAAGAAGCACACTTCTATATATACATGTACAAACACACATTTCATAAGTACAATGCGGAGTTTTATAAATACCTATTTTACACACACTGGATAATTTAAATGAGATGTCAAAGTAGAACAAACTAATCTGGAAAATCTACTTTCAAAATACTGCTTATTTGATTTTTCTTTTAATTATACTCAGTATGAAAATATGGTGGGTCTACCCTGTCACATATAAAGTCTAGTCAATCTACCTAAATAGTTTAGTAAATTACTTAAATTATGTTAAAGACCATTTTGTACACAGGAAATACAACCTGTTAAAAAAAAACAAAAACAAAACGAGTAAACGAAGCCACTGGAGAGCTGATAGCCACTGACTATGAACCCAGAAGCAGGGACTACTGAGAACACCAGACAGACTCTTGACAGCAGCAGCTCGGTTCAAAAAGAGCAGCAGCACCAAATATGTTCTAAGCAATTCAGTTATCACAGAGCAGCAGCTAACAGCAAGGGAAAAACCAGCCATTCTGCAAGTACAAATGAAAAGCAGAAAAAGAACAGCTCCAGTGAGGTTTCCTACTTCACAATTTTAATCGTATTAGGAATTATCTGTTCAATTGATCTGTGACTCTTTTTTTTTAATGTCAAGAGCAATTGTTAAAACTTGATGATGAATTGAAACGACAGTTTAGGAAAGGCTAATATGAATAAAAAATTAAGGAAGAAGAAGGTTTTGTACGTATTAAAACATGGTTGATTGTAGTAAAGAGCATTTTTGTTTAAAAAACCCCAACAAAATAATCCAAACTACATTGGTATGTAATATTGTTACAACCGTTGAAGAAGCTGAGAAAGAAACACCAGAGGACAACTTCATTCACTCAACCAGATGTATTTTTTTAAAGCACAACCCCCCTTTTATTTGTTAAATATATAAACCCAACAATGCCCAATCCCAACACCTAATTTAGCATTGATCCTCACTACTGTGGAAAGCTAACTTTACATAACTTTGACAACATCTCTAAACACAGGGAAAAAGAACACACAGATCTTCCCAGGTTTTGAAGTGCGCAGGGATATACGTGCAAGCCTGCAACTGCCAAAGAAAAGAGTATCCAGAGTAAAACAGGATCCCAGAGCTCAGCTGCAGAACCAGTTTGGGGGGGTCTGCCTTCACCCAGAGAACACTTCCTGAGCTGATAAGGGGAAATTCAACACCAAAGCCCCACGTATCTCTGGGTAAGCACACAGAGACACACAGACCCACATGCAGTTTAACCACCACTTCGGGAAATGTTAATACAAGGTTACAAGCACGCGGGGCCATACTGGTAGGGGGAATAAAGCTGGTTTTGTTATGTGCCTTTTGCTCACACGGTTAGTTGCAGTGATGTACTCCAGCAGCCAACGAGGAGGTTCAGTTTGAAAATCAGGTAAAGACAGACGGGCATGTACCCATTCCTGCCAGCACGGGTACAGATACCCACCCCTGGCAGGGACAAAAGGCACGACGGCATTACAATTGAGAACGTGACATTGCTGAGAATCACCTCTTCGCTCTTCTCTGATGAAGTGTATTCTAATTCCAAGGACTTTTATATATATATCTGCCATATGTATCTTTATATATATATCTGCCATATATATAGTTTAATTTTATGACTTGATTGTTTGGGAAACTAATAGATCAGGGAAAAACTACATAAAATGAAAAGATCTGAAAGAAGTAGCAGACAAACCCTTATTAATCATTATTATTAATCAAACTGTCAATCAACAGAATTAACAACAAACCCCTTGAACACTGAAGATTACTGATGAAACCAAAAGACATTTGGAATTCAATGCTCATCCTTGTTCAGAGAAAAAAAAAACCTAAAAATCTACTTAAGAGTTCCTATGAAGGAAAGGCTTAACTACAGTCCTGCAAACCTCAGCTCTTCAGTGTTTGCCTTAATCCTGACCCAGAGTGATAACAAACACAACGTGTGGCCGTCACACCACTCAAGTGCTGCAAGCACTTTGCCATCGCTTACCTTTCCAAACAGGCAAAGAGCCCCGCTTTTCCTCCTACAGCACAAAGAACTTTGGGAGCACAGCGAGGCCGTGTCATCAACATGGTCTGGTGGGAAAGTCTGTGTTCAGGCATAAAGTGGTATTTCAGGGCCTCGTTGAGGAGATGTTTACACGTGTGGTCGTCACGAATGAGATGGTTGGCTTCGTATAACCTCGTCAGGAACTTCACGCTCAGCAGCGGCAGCCGAACACAGTGGAGCAGCTGCGCCAAGTACTTCTGTCGCTCCTGCACGTCGTATTTGATCCAGGACTCCAGCGCGTAGAAAACGGTTTCTTCCGTCACGACGTTCAAGCAGTCATTGGAAACTATTTCATCCAACTCAGAATGCGTAAGCTCAAAAAACTCCTCCGTCTGACAAACGTCTTCGAAGTTCTGGCAAATGTACTTGTTGGCAGCCAAGTAGAGGTCGTGGCAGCCGTAGGTCTCTGCGAAACGAGAAATCCCGATGCAGTTGCCAGGGTCGAGCTGGCTTTCCAGAAACGCGCAACACTCCTTCACCACCAGCTTGATCTGGAGGAGATTCGCAGCCGGGAGAAGCGACTCGACGGTGTCCTGCGAGATGAACACCGTGCCGGTGTAGGCGTACTCCACGATGGCCTGCAGGGCCGCCTCGTCGATGCACTGGAACTCCACCTCCGAGTTCTCCTTCTCTGAAAGGTTCCCGGTGAACATGGCTTTGAAGTAGGGGCTGATGCTGGCAAGCACCACTTTGTGGGCGTGGATCTTGACATCGCCGACTCTGAGGACAATGTCACAGAGCTCGTGGTGCTGGCGAAGGAGGTTCAAGCCTTGCAGAAGCTGCTCAGAATGCAAGTGCGTTAGGTTGGCAAGCATGTAGGTTGGAGACGACTGGTCCATCTGTGACAAACAGAATTTTTAACGCATTACTCAGGGCTTCACTTCAACCGCTGCGTTACTCATGTTACTTAGACATACTATACATTACGTTTAAAAAAATATGTTCCCGTTTTTGCTTTCATCTTAATTAGGCCTATTACTTTCTGAATTCTTTAGGTCTTAAGTGCTATGCTTTTTCATGCAAGTTAAATCCAGGATAATCAAATGCTTATTAATAGTGTACGCTATAGCAATCTTCTGCCTTAAAAAAATCCAACCCAAACCACCACTTTTTTGTTGTTGTTGTTGTCCTGGAGTAAAATGCATATTATCTGAAGTGCTGAGCAGGTGATAGAATTCTACATCAGATATCTGAGACAACTGGACAGTGACTGAAATAAAAGTAGAGATAAATAACGAATAGGACCAGTTCATTTGAGACAAAATTTTAAAAGTCCTTAAACTACTTTTTCCTACTCCCCTCGCAGCTTTAGCGCTGCCGTGGTGCAGCCAAGCCTGGCCGTGCCTCCCCTCCAACCAGAGCTGTGCGCAGGCCCCACCAGTCGTCACAGAATCACAGAATCCTAGACTGGCCTAGGCTGGAAGGGACCTTAGAGATCACCTAACCCAACCTCCATGGGCAGGGACACCTCTCAACTAGATCAGGCTACTCAAGGTTCCATCCAACCTGGCCTTGAACACCTCCAGGGAGGGGGCAGTCAGCAGGGCTCAGCTCTTTGCTCCCCCTTCCCCCTCCTGCAAAAATCGGTGGGGGGGAAAGAAAAAGTCCATGGAGGCAGTGGGGTGTGGGCTGCAGGAAAAGGGGTGCTGCAGCAGATGTTCCTGTCCTCTGAATGGGCAGAGGAGCACAAGAGATCCTCGCCTCATGGAGCGGCTTCCACCGTGAGGAAAAATCCCCAACGGACGTGTCCTCGTCCTCCAGAGGGATCACACCCGGGGAAGACGGGGAGCTGGGCCTGCCTCCACTGTCACGAGGTGAAGGGCAGGAGCTGGGGAGCTGCTTCCCAGGCAGACAGGCCGAGCATCCTGGCGTCCATCACCATTTCCAAGTCCTCCCGGCACCGGCAGCGACCGACACTTCCCAATCCCACTAGTAAGGGCAGAGAGAAGGATCCTCATTCCTACCTATGGCTCCACAAAACTACTAGATGCTTCTTCTAGAAAGTTTTAGCTTGCATTGTCACACTTGAAGGCACTATGACACCTGCTCTAATTTCAGTACCATTAAAATTCAAATGGTGCTGCCCACCACCACCTGGTGGAGAAGCAGTTCTTTATTCAGACTGAGTTATTACACCGGGGAGAGGGCGGAGGGTAGGAATATGTCAGGATCCTGGACCACGGGGAGACAGAACAATTGTTCCACAGAGAACACTGCAACCACCCCATTTCTGAACTGAAAAGCTGATTTTAATTTTGATTTGCTAAATGACTATGCAAACTTCAAGATCCTACTTATTTTATGTTATTATTAAGGAGTTCATCACTTTTACAGCTCCTTAACTGACATCTAATTTGCAGCGAGCCTACTTAGAAAGGGCTTAATCTGGAAGAGTAAAATTAGGTGCCAACGTTTAAATACAGAACATAATAGCACTGATAGAGAAGCAAAGGCTTACAGCTACAAGTATAAAAGCTCTTACCCTTTAAAAGATAAGAAAGTTCATCTCTCTCTGCTTTTACAGCCTTATACTGGGGAAGAAAACCCACCCAATGTATCTAAAAGAAAGTATTTTAAGCATATCTGCAAAAGGCAAGATCCCATACAACAACACGTTCCATATAATAGCATTTTTGCAGCACAAAGGATGTGAGGGGTGAGGCAAAGTTATTTACCAGCTAAAACTATTTCTTTTCGATTTGCGTTCGAGCTCAGTTCCTAACTCAATTGCACACATATGCAGAAATCATAAAAAGCATGGCAGAAAAAGGAATGCCTACAGTTCAGACGCAAAGCCTGTAAAAACAGTTTTAAACAGCTACTTTGAAGTTATTCTGCAGAAAACAAAACAAAAAAACCCCAACTTTTTGTACCAACTTGGTAGACGTGCGCCTACTGCTATACCTCGCACACCTCCCGCCCGGCAGTGCTTGCCCACGCCACGTATTTCTATTTATTTATTTCATCGCTGAGCAAGAAATCAGAAGCTGGAACGTTCAACCAGTCCTGAAGCCCAACACAAACCACACGGCTGCCCCCAGGCTCTGGACTAGCCGACCCTTTTCGCTTTGTAGGTGAAAATTATCTTGCACAGCAGGGAAGCAGTTACCAGAAATAAAAAGGCTAACCAGACACGTAAAGAAAGAGGTAAGCTCGTTTACTGGAGGTTTGCACTCATTTAAAAACCAGGGGAGGCGACGGCGCCCAGCGAGCGATGCAGGGCGAGAAGAGCAGGCAGGGCTCCGGGCAGCGCTCCAGCGCTCGCCAGTTCCTTATTTAGGCGACGAAGCGGTTGGGGCCGGGAAGCCACCCAGCTCGTCTGGCGACACAAAAGCTCAGCGGCACCCGCGCCGCGAGAGCCGAGCT